CAGGCGGCAGTGGTACGGCCCGGCCGTGTTATGTAAACATAGAGTAAAGGGGACCCGGCCGCTCTTAAAGGGGCCGCGCACCGGCGGCCGCGGCTCGGGGTCAGCGAGGGGTCCCGAGCGGGGGGCTCTGGGTCACCTCACCCTGGGCTCCACATCACCTGAGGGGTTCCAGATCTCCTCCTGCCCTCGGGGCGTGCCCGGATCCACCGGGTGTCTCCAGACCCCGGCCGCCCCAGGTTTGGGTCAGTGCGGGGCTGCGTTGCCTCCTGTCTGGGATGGGGGCTCTGAATCCGCGGCCCGTGGCTTTGGAGATTTGTGGAGAGCTCCCGGGTCACCTCCTGCCCCAGACAGAGGGGCTCAGCCACCATCCACCCCTACACCTTCCATGGGGTGTCAGCAATGGGGCCACCCTCAGACTTGGTGCTCTCCTGTCCCATCTCCTGCCTCCCATCCCTGGAGGTGGCAGGAGCCATGGGAGCCTCATTCCAGCCTCTTCTGTCCACTGTCTTCTTCTGAGGGGACAGAAATGCCCTCACCCCCTTTGTTCTTTAGCAATCTGTCAGGACTTTCCCAGCCCAGCCCGTTCTATGACTTCCGAGGGGTTTTTTTCTGCTTCGGTGTCTCCCCCACCACCATCCCCTCCCCTCCTCCTTTGTCCTCTGCACCTGACTAAAGCCCAAAACCAGCAAAGATTGGCTTGATGTTAATCCATGTTGAGGACAGAAATTCTCATTAGCTGATATTTGAGGTTTCCAACCCATTATCAAAGACAAGAGCAATGGGAACATCCACCTTTCCTGAAGAGAACCCTTGGGGCCAGCACAGTCACACTCAGGATCCAGCTCCTCCTGCTGAAAGCTTTCCCTCTGCCAGAAATTGTATTTAGCTATTAATTTTACCAGTAATATTATTTTTCTGTCGTTCTGGTGAAGAGGTGAAATGGAAAAACACAACCAATCTCAAAGAGCTGCAAAATGGAGATCTTCCCAGGGGCTGTGTGAAGAAGACAAGATTTTATTGAAGACAGGGAGCTGAATTATTACAGATTTATCTTCTTTATTGCTCTAACAAAATAGAAAAGAAAGCCGGGCCGTAAGTCACTGTCAAAGGAAACAAATAAGTTCCCAAAAACAGTGTGGAAAACAAAGCTCCTGGCTGTATCCCTTTCAACTTCTGCATTTCTCCCCTGAAAGCAGGACCTTCACAGCAGCCTGGCTTTCACATGACATTAACAAACTCCAGGACTCTTCCAAAAAATGCTCCCGAGCAGCTCAGCTCGGATGGGATTCCACAAGTCCGTGATGTGTCTGGACATAGAGCATCTTTCACTCTCCCACCTGGGGATGGAGGGATGAGGAAAGACCTTGGAAATCTGATTTTACCCCTCTTTTCCACTTCCTCATTTTCTGACACTGCTCTTTTTGGAAAACGGGGAAGTTGGGCAGCTCTGCACCCTTTTCTCAATCCTGCATGTTTTTTTTCCTAGCACCCAAACCAGTGCATCTGCTGTCATTAAACACAGAAGTGACTCCCACTCTGTGACTACAGAAAATGCACTGCTGAAAAAAAGTTATTAAATACAGAAAATGCTCTTCTTGGCATTGCTGAAAAATAAATGTGCAGGGGGGAAAAAGATCCCAGAGGGATTCACAGGGGAATATTTACATCTGTGGTGTTCGTAGGAGGTGGATGAGCTGTGCTGGGGTGAGGAGCACTCACCTGCCATGTACCTGTGGTGGGAGACTCTGACATAAACCCTGAGCTTGAGCTGATCCTTTTTCTTTTTCTCTTTTTTTTTTTTTTTTTCCTTAGGAATTGTGCTTCATTTGTCCATGTCCAATCTCTTCATTCTCCCCATGGGGTGTTTTAGGCTGAGGGAAGATCAGCCCCACGAAGTGTTCTGAGGGCTGCTGAGCCTTTTCTTCCCAAATTTTAGGTTTTCTCATTTCAATTCCCAAGGACCAGTAGCTGCCAGCACTGGAAACCTGCTTAGAATTGTTTAATATTTAAAATTTCTACGTTTTGGCTAATGAAGCAGAGGCAGGAGGAGGCAGCAGCTCTGCCACACATTACACAGCTCCCTGTCCCACACAGATCCCAGCCCCAAATCCCAGCCCCTCTATTTCCTCCAGCTCCAAAAAATTCCTTTTGCCACTGGTACGAGCAACACTTGGCTGGCATTTTTCCCCAAACCCATTGAAATAATTGAGAAATATACCCACAGCTGCACTCTGCTACTTTTCAGCTGAAAACATCCTTCCTTTTCAGATTTGGGATGTCTCAGGGTGGCTTTTCAGGGCAGTGAAGGGAGGTTTGGTTGTTTTCCACTTAAAAGTGGGAGTCACAGATAACTTGGAACTCCTTCTAGGCTGCATCAACACTAAAAGAGGGATTTTGCTCCCAGGTTTAGCACGAGCAGCTGCTTGGCTGGGTGGAGGAATATCCACCCAAGCCAGGCAAGCATTAAAAATCAATGTTTGAAAAAAAAAAAAAAAAAATCCCAAACATGAAGAAATAGTACATGCCCATTTATTTTTAAAATGTAATAAAAAGTTATTTTAAATGCAGGAAGATTAATAATGCTCTAATTCAGCAAAGTACTTCCAGATGTGCTGGACTGAGTGTACTTCAGTGCTTTCATGAATCGAGGCTTAGGGAATGGGCTTCAAAAGTACTGAAAGAGGTTTTTAAAGTAAAAGAGGGGAGATTTAGATGGGATATTGGGAAGAAATTCTTCCCTGTGAGGGTTGTAAGGCCCTGGCACAGGGTGCCCAGAGAAGCTGTGGGTGCCCCTGGAAGTGTTCCAGGCCAGGTTGGATGGGGTTTGGAGCACCCTGGGGTAGTGGAAGGTGTCCCTGCCCATGGAAAGGCAATGGGACTGGACAATTTTTAAGGTCCCTTCCAACCCAAAGCGTCCTGAGGATCCTCTGAGCCTGAAGAGCCCCTGATCACACCTGCAGCTTACACTGCACATGAAATTCATGGCACATGTGATGGGAGCAGAAATAGGGATAAAGGTTTCCATTCCCAGTCCTGCACTGGTGCTGTTCACACAGAGGTTTCCACGACTGGGATCAGTTTTATGTTCAGCCATCAGTAGGGATGCTTTGGGATGGGAAAATTAAACTCTGAGGTCATAACAACCTGGATTTGGTGCTCCAGGGAGAGGAATAAACCCCAGGAAAGGAGAAAAACTCAGCTCTAAGGTTAGGATCAAGCAGGTATCACCTGGGTAGGCGACGCCTTTCAGGCTGGAAAGTCTCCAGCTGGAAGATGAGTGGGGCTCTCAAGCAGCCACCAAGTAGAAATAGCAGAAGAAAGAGCAGCAGGTGCTTTAAAAGTAGATTTGATAAATAAATTACAGGAAAAATAAGATGTGATTGCTCATAATGATGCAATACCAAGATTAGCATGTTTGGGTGAGCTTCTCAGTCCATTTTTCAGGGCTCAGTGCCTAACTTAGGTCAGGCTAAAACAGATTTCCTTTTCCTTATTCCATTTGAGAATCTCTCCTATTGTCTTAATTTTCCATCAGAGCATGTAATCTTCTTGATTCATAGTACCACCTAAAATTTAGAGAGGAGAATTGCATTAAAAAATAAGTGGAAGAGTTAAAAGGATAAAATACTTTCAAATACCCTGGCAGCAGTTTAAAGATATTATACAGGCTCCAGCTTAATATGTAACACTCCTTAATAAAGACCCTAAAGGAATTTTTAAAAGCAAAGAAGTGAAGTAGCAGAGTGGGGAAGGCTTTTAGGAACAAAAAAAGATAGCTGTTAAAAATGAGGGAAATGGAATATAACACAAACATTGGCAAATATAAAACCACAGCAAGGCAAGTGGAGAAGATATTGCAAAGCAGTTTACCAGAGGCATGAAAATGCTCAGAAAAACATAGCAGAGACAGAAAGTGGACCAGGGACTCACTGGGACCAGCAATGAGTGCAAGTGAAAAGATTGGGGTGAAATAAAACACTGGTGGGTCGAGTAAATGAGCTCCCCATGTTGTCTGTGCTTGAGACTCCCACAGAAAAACCTTCCTTTTCTGCAGTGGCTCTGGTTAGCTTCTTAAATATAAGTATCATCAAGTAAATTTCCAGAGGAAAAAATTTCCAGAGTGACACATCACTGGCCCAAGACTTGGAAAGAGATTCAAATACAATGATAGGAAATAATTGTATTTGTGTAATTGTTTTCTATAAAACATTGTATAGATATATTATTATAAATGTGCATTTGTCTGCAGGATGAGAAATAACAAACTTGCCACTGAAGAAGCAAGTTTAAGAACTTAAACTTTAAGAGTTGAAGTCTGACCTGCGCTACACAAATGAAAACACAATGAAGTTCAGGTAAATATGGATAGCTGGGATTCACTGGGAAGATCTGATACACCAGGGAAAGGGCAATAGGAAGTTTCTGCAGAAAGAAGTCAACTTTTATTCCACATTCACACCCCTTAAAGCAGTCAATGAATATGTTGGAGGAGGTGATTGCATGTGTATCACATACCTGGGGTTCAGCAAAGCTTTGGCACCACAAGAGCTGTCAAAGAGATAAAAGTTGCATGAGATAAAGAAAAGGCTGCATGGATTAGCAGCTGAGACAAGAGAAACCAAAGGCTGGAAATCAGTTTTCATTTTCACAGTGGGGAGAGGTTATTGCTGGGATTTTGATATCGTGGAGCCCTGGCCAGGCTGCTGACTTCTAATGGGAAAGTTTGCTGACAAGCCAAAAAAAATTTTAAGCTGACTGCAAGGAGTTCTAGAAGGACCCAGCAAGAAAATATCCAAGTAAAGTAGATACAAGATGACCTTAGCCATATCTGTCTAATGGCTGGCTCTAATTGAGCTATTGTCATTCCAGAAAGGCGTCCCCAGGTGTTGCAGGAACTACAGGTCCTTCTCTTGGAAGAGAATGACCTAAGTCTAAAACACAGAACGTCTTCTGGGTTATTCCAGAGGGAAGTTCTGAATCCCTTTTCCTGTGCTCCATACCACACCCCCTTTCCTGGAACCCCAGCACTGTGCACTCACTTTGCAGCTCAGTTCCTGAAGGACTTGTGTTAGCTAAGGGGGAATAAAAATAAACACCTTTTGTGTGTTTCTGCCAAAATCAGAACACTGGCATCCCAAATCTCAGTGTTGCCTTTATTGCACTTTTCCTGGGAGGTTTCAGCCACACCTCCAGCTCCTGCTGAGGACCTTGCAGCTCAGAGCCAAGTCCTCTCTCAAATCACCACATCCCTCTATCCTATCCCAGTTGCTGTTTTGGGAATGGACTTTTGCTCTTCAAGATGTCGCCCCTTTTTCCTTTTAAATTTTGGCTCCATTGCAAAGTTAACATGAATGCAGTGGTGGGATGC